TGTGACAGAAAAATAGGCATTAAAATACAGAAGAGAGGGGCAGCTAGGTGGCTTAGTTGGCTAAACGTCCAACTCTTGATTTTGGCTCATGTCATGATCTTACGGTTCTTGAGATGGAGCCCCACATTGGGCTTTGCACTGACAGTTCAGAGCCTACTTAGGCTTCTCTCTCTCCCTCTTTCTCTGCCCCTCCCCTACTTGTGCTCTCTCTGTCTCTTAAAATAAACTTTAAAAAATATATAAAATGTAAAAGAGAATAGAAACTGAATCAATGAAGGAAATTTAACTTAAAATGTAAAATGATCAAATACTTTTTAAAGAAGAGAAATAGGATAAATACTGTGATATACTTAACAAATTTGCTTATAACTAAAAAGCTTTATTTGTGTACTCTGATATTGTGTGTATATAAATAAATTCTCAGTGTGGAGAACCATCTGGTTTAGTAACATATTTATACATCTATTATATACACATATGATATGCATACCAATTTAAATGATTACAAATCTTCAACTGTGTTCAATGCCTGTTTGCATGTATGCAAATTTTACACAAAGCTAAGCAAGAGTGTTAAAAGCAGGTTAATTCTAGGAAAATACTGCAGAAACCATTATAGAACAGATGAATGAATGCCAGTTTGCAAAATTTAAGGGATTGCTTATTGCCTGAGAAAAATCTAGCATATTAAAATCAGAACCTAAAAAAAAAAGCTTCTATATCAGAACAGAATATTTGTCTTTAAGGGTAATCATGTATCCTCCTTTGGAACCATAAGAATAAGAGAGGTAATATTTCATATGCAACTTGACCACCATTTACTTTCCAACCCCCTCCTTCACTTCGAATCAATTTGCTGCATTTGATTTCATCAGCCTGGATTAATTTATAATGTATTTATAATTGCATTTGTGATGTAATGGGTTGGAGGGATTCTGATAATGGAAAAGTTATGCTATCTAAAGGACACAGTAAAATTAAATGTTGGTAATCAGAACTGGGTTTTACTTGTACCATTTTGTACCCTGCTGAAAACTTGCATCAAGTCCCTTTGAGCTACACATGCAACTCCTATTACCACTAATTGCAGTTTCACTACACAGGCACATCAAAAGAAAAGACACAGACCTCCTTTGTGCTGTGGGTTTTGTAGTCCTTTTCATATTACAAAATGAGATCCAATTCTACTTTCATGTTTTAGGTGCTGGATGTACTTAGTCCAATATTTACCCATTTCCAGTTTTCCTTCTTCCTTCTTTGAAACTCTTCTTTGAAAGGTGGCGGGGGGGGGGTGTGGGGTGGGGTGGGGTGGTGGCTAGAGGTACAAGCCAGCCCCTCCCTGCTCCTCTGCCATGATCCCTATCGAAGATGGCATTACTGTCCATTCTACTGTTCAGGCCAGACACCTGGAGCCACCCCTTCCATCCTCATATTCTCTGCCTTTCGTTTTCCCTCTACCACAGGCTCTGAATAGTTTTCTCTTCTAAGGAGCTCATGATTTCAACAACTTTTCTTATTACCACCATTAAAGGTCATCCAACTCCCCTTCAACCTAATTTCTAGACCATTGCAGAGACTCCGAACTGGGATCTCTGCAACCACTGTTTCTTTTCTCTTTTTCTGCACATCACATGCAAACACCATTATACTTCCTTTTTGGTTAAAATATTTGAACGGCTCATGGATCTTCAAGTGAAGTCAAAATTGCTGCAAGGCTCTTGGCCCAACCTACTTCTCCCACCACATGTTACACTTAAATTGCCCCGTTGGCCTTCTTTCCTGTCTTCATATTTGGCAGGTCCTGTCCTACCACAGGCCTCTGAATACT